CTAGCAAGGGAAGCATGACCAGTCCCCGTTCACATCGAGGATGTCGAAGGGCTGGGTGACTTCCAAGGCAGGGCTCCGGCCGCAGTGCACTCGAAGCAAGACCCGGGCCTGCAACGGCAACATACCGCAACGCACAGAGGGCAGGGTTTTGCAGGGCACCCTCCAAATGGCCGAGCGCAGCAAGGTGTGCCATAGCCTACAAAGAACTTGGCCTGTGGGCCTACCCATGATGTCATTACACAAAAATTTGGCAACGCAACAAAGGCTCAAACATGCTCAACCTTCCAGCTTCTCGATGCAACCATGACAGAATAAAAAACGCACAAGAAGTCAAGGGCCTTCTCCTCAAGCTCTTGCTTTGTAATGGCCTCCTGCGCTCAAACAGCGGCTTCCAAGCCTTCAGCAACCATTCCGGAGGTCCTTGCCACCCCCAAGCTCAGTGAAGAGGCGCTCCGGCGACCAGGAATTCTTCTCCATCACCTGCCCAAACTCTGCAACGACTGATGGGGAGATGTGTGCATCGCGCAGTTTCACCATGCATCGCCTTCACCAGATCTCGGAAGAAGTGGCTGGCATTCCACTCCGCCATGGACATGTCCTTTTCGGACTTGAGGAAGAAGTTCGCAGCCTTGGGCCGGGGTTTTGGAATGGGATCATCTTGCAACGATTCTGAAAGCGCGTCTCACGTCTGCAACATCAAGTCGCGTGAGCTGCAAGAGCTCCTGGGTTCCAGGCCAAGTCCAGCTTGTGCTTTTGCTTGGCGATGACCGCCAGAGCCTCGAGCAAGAGAGCTTCGAGCATCTTCGAGCGACGGGCTATAGGAACCCTTTGGGTTTCTAATCTATGGGAGGCTATGGGCCCCAATGGATGCCCATTCATGCCGCTTCCTTCCCTTCCATGCAGCGCCTGGTGCAGCTCTCGAGAAGTCAAGAGCCCCTTCTCCGACATGAGGAGCGGCAGCAACCTGGAGACGGACGAGGTCACTCTTTCCCAGCGTTTGGCTTGGGCCTCTGCGATGTGATGGATATGGAAATTCTGAGATTTGAGTGTCAAGTTTCAGCATGTTTCTTGCTTTGTCTTAGCAATGTTGTCATTGTTTGTTCTTCTGCCTTGCTACGATCCTGCATATGCAGGTTATAACAGCTATGCTTTTGCCCCGGTTCTTCCAGATTCTATTCCAGATCCGTGAACCTGCCTGAACTTGGCCCTGTGGGACTTTTGTGTGCTCGGGGGGGTGTCTAAGTCAGGGAAGGCCTTGCCCAGTTTGGGTAATTGCACCACCGTGGCCCAGATCATAACCATAATATCCTAAAACACTTTACCATATAGAAAATAAGGTGCAATTGCCCAGAATGGACAAGGTAATGGGGTCGCCCAGTTTCGGTTATTACATCACTGTCAACCAACTAGACCCAATTATCCTGAAATGTACATTACCACATAGAATTTATCCTAATATACCATATAATCGCAACTAGTAGCCTATTATCCTTAAAATACTCTATCTCATCCTATTTATCAGGTGATGTAACATCCCGAAATGGGCAAGGTTAGGTTTATTCATTTTATGGGGCATAGTATGGGGCAGTTGGGTGGGGTTCAGGGCTCATAATTTAGGAATGACAGCCAACAACATCCATTTTTAGTTTTGGCAGGCGCAGTCTACAACCCTTTGCCGATCTTTCGCGGCATGTTGAAGAACATCAAAACCCGAGATGCCTCATACCTGATCGGATCTTCCCACCCAAACCGCATGCCCTGGCAACTTTAAGTTTTGGGGCATAAGTTTTGGGTTAGGGGCTTGTGGCCTTTTGGAATCTACGGTTTAGGGCTTTGGGTTTTGGTCGTGGGGGTCAGGGTTCAGTGGTCCAGGCGATATTGGCTGGGTCGGAGCCTAAAACCAAACAAGGACAGAACTGTCACGTAGACACATCACCCTCACACACACACACACACACACCATCGCGGAGAATTCGACCAATAGTTGACAAGTTGAGGCTCTTCTACAAATCCTCTTACAAGGACCTTTCGGGCAACTCACCACCACCCCCCCCAGATTGATCTGGCGCAGAACCTTGAGTGACAAGCCCATCTGATCCCAACCACTTCACTTGCATCCTTTACCCGCTGCAGCTTGCGCGCATTTGCAAGCTGCGAGCATCGAGTCTCTCAGTGTCTTGGGACTCTTTACAATGACGGATTTACGGATCGGCCTTGCTTGTGAAACTGTCCACATGTCTGAGCATGTGCTGAAGCCGATCCTGCTGCGCAGGAGGTGATCCTCCGCGTAAGCGGTCTTCCATCTGGAACCGGTGAAGTGTTTCGAAAAAATCCCATTCCACTTCGTCAAACTCTGCTTCCAGAGGCGGCATGCAAGCCGGTACGAATCGCATCTTCGTGTCATTGCCTGCACGCATGTTCGCCCATGAGTTCAAGCTGCGTGCCAACAACAGGAGCGGGTGTGGTGCGCAATGGCCACTTCCTGGTGTCCAGGGCTGCTTCACGTTTGGTCCTGGCATGTTCTCGGAAAAAGCAATGTATGGAAACCTCAAGTCTTCACCTGGACGAGGGACGTATAATCCTTCCAGTTGCACCGACTCTTGAAACGCTTTGCACTGAGATTGCATCGATGCGTCCGGCTTCCCATATGTTTTGCCACCAAGGGTAACCCTGCGTTCAAACTTGTCTTTTGAATACAAGGCAACCAGTGTCGAAGCAACTGATTCAAAAGTCTGAAAAGCCTGGTCGACATGCTGCGTAGATGCACGTGGGGTGCGTTCATAACTTCCTGCCTTCTTGTATGCGTCCGGTGTACCAGCAATGAAAACGGCGTTGTAGGCCTCTCCAGCCCAGTCTATGACATCCTGCTTCGAAAGAACCGGAAGAATCATAATCTGTGGATTGTTGTCAAGCAAATCACCTTCTCCATCCAAGGCAAGAAAATTGAAACTGGCGTTTCGCAAGGATAAGGTTGCCATGTTTTCCTCACCCAACATGCCTACTATGGCTGTCCAGGCTTTGTCTTGAGACACCCTGATCATGCTTTTGACAATAGTGTCCCAAACTAATGCACAATTGAGGCTGTTTGGCAACAAGTGTGCACGCTTCAGCTGGCCAGGAGGGCCACCCAACAGGGACACGGATATACTCTTCAGATTGGCGCTGCTTGCTGCGCTTGCTGCACTCGTCGGAACGGCCCTCTTTGCTTTGTGTGGGCACCACACTTCTGCCAGAGACGTTGACCTCAATATGTTATCATCTTGGATATTGGTCTTCTCGGACTGCAGGTCGGAAATGCGATGCCACCACGTACCGGCAACCATCTCCTTCTCTTGCTGTGCTGCTTTGGCCGCTGCCTCTGCTGCCTCTGCTAGGTCCTGTGCTGCTTTGGCCGCTGCCTCTGCTGCCTCTGCTAGGTCCCTCACCATCTCCTTCTCTTGCTGCGCTGCTTTGGCCGCTGCCTCTGCCTTCTTCCGTCCATCCCTCTCCCGCCATAAAAGGAGCATCAACGTAGTAGACAAGCAAAGAAGTACGGCGAACAACCACTGATCTGCGCCATTGGTTTGCGCACCGTCCATGATCCAGACAGCCCACCAAACAAACCCCGTGCTTTACACGATTTCATCTGCTTATATATTGACAAGAATTGAACTTGCATGCTAGCAAGCTGTCAAGACAACGCAAACGGTCTTGCTATCAATATCGCTCTGCACGTGATGGCTTTCAAAAACGAGCTAACTTGTGAAGCCAGAAAGGCATACAACCAGGCGGTGCCAGTGGTCCTGCTCGGACAAGTTTCAGTCCTACTCCAGCTTCCTGTCAAACCTTCAATAACTCAAACCTTAAATATGCTCTATCAACACCTTCCACATAATAGTAATTCTGTCCTAGATTTTTCTCTATCTTCTCAACAGTGTAGGCGTTCTTGCTAAAATTCCCCACCCTTTCTTTTTCGTTTGGCTTTCTTTTCTTAAATATTTTGACCTCATCACCTTTTTCCAACTCTGGGTACATCCTATTTTTCTTAGCCTTACTGGCTAAATTCAATTTAACTTTTAACTCGTTTGATGGCATTCGTGCTTCTTTAGGTGTCATTTCTATAGCGGAATGCTTCATTACATTATTGTACGTTAACAAAATCTCGTGTATATAATCTATCCACTGGATATTCTTTTTACCCTTTTTTTCATCTGCTTCAACCCTCCTGTACAACAAATCTTTAAAAGTGCGTATCGCGCGCTCACTAAAATTAGGGTGTGCTCTCGTTATGTGATGTTCAATATTCTGTTCCTTAAAATATGTTTGTATTGATTCCTTGCTTAGCGCTCCTTCATCGTCGGTGTAAACAATTTTAGGATTTTTACCCATCTTGTGTAGTGATTCAATTATACCACTCGCTAAATCTTCTTCGGTCTTGCCTTTAATGGGTACAACATGCATAAACTTATCAAAAACATCAATCGTTAACATTCCTACTCTAAACTTTTGATTTTCCATGTCATTTATAAAGAACAAATCCATTTGATACTCGTATGCCGAATGTGGTGCTACAAAACTGTTTGTACCTACTGGTCTACGTTTCTGTTCTACATTCTTCTTAAAAAAGTCATTGATGTCGCTCATTGTTATACCTTTATCCTTCTTTCTGGCTTCATCTAAGGTGCGTTGTTTACTTCCAAAACCAGCCTTATCAAAATAAACATCATTAATTATTTTCTGTTTCTCGCTCATATAAATAAGTAAGAAAAATAATAATATTTTTGCAAAAATTATTATTTCTCTTGTTCTGGTTCTTCTTCAGGCATCACTGTTATCACCTTACAGTTTTTCATGGTGTATTTAGTTCCTTTCCTTTTATTTGCTAGTGCTTCTGCCTTCTGTTCTGGTGTCAACTTCACGACTGTTATATCTATACCGTTTTCGGCTATGTATTTCTCCATCTTCTTCTTCTCCAGATACCTATCTCTGGAAGCCCTTTTTTTCTCAACATACTCTTTGTCTTCACGTCTTTTATTATAATACAGCCTATTGTACAATGCCAGTTGTTCACGGATTTCCTCTATTGTCATATCTTCAGGTTTTGTCATTTCACTATTATTATATATAAATAATATTTCTTTAAGTGCTTTTTCTTAACACTATAATCTTATTTGATTTTCAATCAGTCTAAAAAAAGTCTTCAGAAAAATATATTTAAAGAAATATTTTTATTATAAAATTAATATATATTGTAATTTATGACCAAAGCTATACAGAGAAATATCACTGCTTTAGAAGCAGTGTACGACAATTACAAAAAACGCTTTAACAAAGCAACCAAGGAAAAAGTCAGAAACATCATAGACTTATATTCTGAACGCAAGATAGCTCAGTTTACAACAGCCGACAATTTAATAAGAAAATTTATCACATCCAAGACACCAAAGGACAAAGAAAAGGCAGAAAAGGAATACAATAAGATTTATGACAAACATAAGGATAAACCCAGTCTAGGCGAAAGAATGGAGGAAACAAAGAAAGAGAACAAGAGAACTGGAAGAACCAACCCTAGAAAAAAACATGACTATTCAATGATAGTGGCGTTTTTTAGATACAAATCGGAATCCAACACACAGAAAACAGCATTTTATGACAAAGCAGGTAAGCCCTTAGTACCATTGTTTATAGGAGAAAGTATAAGGCACACAGCAAGCGTTAACACCACATCGTATGTTGAAAACCTTGTTGGTAGAAAAGTGTTTGGGGAGTACGACAAGAGGCTTTTCACAAAATTACTATTGGACTTACAAAGAGACCCGTCCATATTGGGAGTCATCGGCTTCGTGATAGATTATATAGATTGTGTTAAAGTATATGAAGTTGATAGGGTAGATGGTGATTCAGATTTTAATCCAAAGCACGAGAACCTTAGAGATGCCACGAATGTGAGCATGTATCATAATTATATTCAGACTCCTTTGAACC